GGTATGCAACTTTTATTGTTAATTGGAACTTTTGAGTTGCGGTGAAAAATCTGGCGACTTTTCTTTAACGGGACTAAAGATAAATATCATTAAGCCTGCCATTTGATATAATAATAACTTTTTAACTTTTGATTCAATTATCAATTGTTTAATTATATTTTTCGTGCTAATCGACAAATTTTTTCTTCCCCATCTTTCGAAAAAGTGACCCCCACTTCTCATACACTAAAAATACTAGAATCTGCGTAGTACTATTTTAATTTTATTATTATTTCATTCTGGGTGTCTAGCCTCTGCTATTTCCTTTTTTGCTAAAGAGATAATTTTGAATATGCAGATGTTGGTCACGAAATCTTAAATCGAAACTGGTTCAATAATCAACATGGCGGCCTCCGCTAAATCCAATCAGCGTTGCTTGAGGTTATCTAATTAAAATAGAACATTGAATTTAAATTCATTCGGGGATACCGGCGATTCTATTGGAATGTTATTTTCTAATAGTTTGATAATTTGGTTTCATTGATTTTAAGTCCTTTTTGCTGCAAGCAGAACTACTCCATGAGTAGTCGATCTCAATAAAAGTTAATGTTTGGAGATATTATTGGAATAATGCCATTTCGTCTGAACTTCCATTATTCACTGCAAGTTTTGCAAAAAAATAATCAATGGGTGAATTTAATATTGCAAGAGAATGCTTATCTCCTGGAGATTTGAGAGAATTTTACTTCTTTATGCTAAGACTCGTATGTTGGAGCTACGAAATAAAAGACTATTTCTTGGCCTCTCATAATCCTTCTCGAGTTAAAAATTATAGTTTCTTTATAATCACGTTAAGGAATTGATAACACTTCGGATACATATTATTCGACAATATTTTGCCCGTCATTTTGCCAACCCATTTCGAAATCGAAACTGCGGTGATTATTACCAAGATGCCACTCTTGACAATTATGGATCGATGAAATCAGTACATGAGAGGCTCCCATTTAGACCAGAAATAAAATCTTTTGACTTGAGCCATTTTTAATGTTGAGATTTTGTGGAAATTTATTGATTAAAACTTCTTTGGAATGTCCCCTTTCTTTCTCTAAGTCATTATCTGATAATTGATTACAACCCTGTTTTTCACTGGAACATACGAAAAATTAAAATTGTCTGTACATTTGCTGATGATTTGAGGAAAATCCATTTTGTTTTTGTTTTATTTATGCTCTGGAAGAGCCAATTACCTACGGTATGCAACTTTTATTGTTAATTGGAACTTTTGAGTTGCGGTGAAAAATCTGGCGACTTTTCTTTAACGGGACTAAAGATAAATATCATTAAGCCTGCCATTTGATATAATAATAACTTTTTAACTTTTGATTCAATTATCAATTGTTTAATTATATTTTTCGTGCTAATCGACAAATTTTTTCTTCCCCATCTTTCGAAAAAGTGACCCCCACTTCTCATACACTAAAAATACTAGAATCTGCGTAGTACTATTTTAATTTTATTATTATTTCATTCTGGGTGTCTAGCCTCTGCTATTTCCTTTTTTGCTAAAGAGATAATTTTGAATATGCAGATGTTGGTCACGAAATCTTAAATCGAAACTGGTTCAATAATCAACATGGCGGCCTCCGCTAAATCCAATCAGCGTTGCTTGAGGTTATCTAATTAAAATAGAACATTGAATTTAAATTCATTCGGGGNTACCGGCGATTCTATTGGAATGTTATTTTCTAATAGTTTGATAATTTGGTTTCATTGATTTTAAGTCCTTTTTGCTGCAAGCAGAACTACTCCATGAGTAGTCGATCTCAATAAAAGTTAATGTTTGGAGATATTATTGGAATAATGCCATTTCGTCTGAACTTCCATTATTCACTGCAAGTTTTGCAAAAAAATAATCAATGGGTGAATTTAATATTGCAAGAGAATGCTTATCTCCTGGAGATTTGATGAAAATTTTACCTAAGTTCTCGCTTACGGTCTTCTAAGATTTGAAAAAATTATTGATTGTCTAAATTTTTTGAGCTTTTCAAGAATAAATTTTGCCCACTCATTTAAAAAACTCTAGATTTAGCAATTATCAGTCTATCTGGCATTAATAATCAATATGAGAAGGGAAGAACCTCTTTAACTCCCATTGACATTAACAAATATTTCAAGTTATTACAGAAGGCAGTTAAAAATTATGCTGGTCAACTTCCAAAGATATAGAAATTGCTTCTTTTCGTCGTTCCACTAGCTCTTTTAAAGTCTCTACCGCTTTGATATCGGACCGCATCTACACCCACTTGCTTTGTTCACGAGTCCGTTATTTAAATGCTTCAGTTTATGCCGCTTTTGAAATAATGCCTTGCCCATTTGGCTATCTTTTCTCCTCCCCAACCCTACTCATCCAGGCCAATATTTCTATCCCCTCTCCAGTTACCTCTCTCATCTTAATGAGTAATGTACTAAATGGACTCAGAAGCACTTAAGGCATTCACTCGGAAAGAGAGAGAGAGAGAGATAACAAGAATACATTAGAAACGGTGTACGCAGTTTAGATAGACAAAAGATTGTATGACATCTTTTGTTCAATCTTAGATCTCTCTTCCCATTTTGGCTAGAACTAATTGAAGTATTAAATTCTTAATCACTCTCTGGGGAACGCTTAATTTGTAATTAAGTAGTATTGGCCTGAAATGACATTGAATTTCAGAAAGTAACGTTTTCGCCTCCAAATAAGTTTCGATTAAAATGTACAAACCAGGAACGGTTTCCAATCGAGCAGATAATGTTGGCCGCACCATTCATTCAAGTTTATGAAATAAGAACTATTAACTTAGCATTAGTGCGGATGAGATGAATCATTATGCCTTACCATTCATTATCTATATGGCTAATAGAATTAATAAATAGATTGGGGCCTCATGTCGTCCACACCTGGTCATAATTTCTCAAAAATAGCAACTATTATCTTAAAGTAGGGGGAACAATTATCAAAATAACAAGTCTCATTTATGTTTTTTAATTTCATTCTTTGTCTCAAGTGACAACGCCTATGTTAATAGCAGTCACCTTGGTGACGGAGTAATCAACTGGGTACTCGATGTAATCTTGGGGCATCGCCCAGTGTATACCCACACCCGAATAGCCAAATAAACTCTCCCATTTCCCTGTAATTTAGTCGGTGACAGAGGTAATAATTTTGAAACTTATTAGAGCTCAATCAGAGTCTAGAATGGCTACTGACGATATTATATAAGACACTGTTTACTTTCTAGCTGATTCTATGGGTCTTGGTAATATGTGGGGAAATATGAAAGGGGTGGAGGGGAGATTAATTTCGTGTATGTGCATGGAGCTTTTCCACTCGCGCACGTCTAGTTTCATTGGGGGGGGGGGGGGGGGGGGGGGGGGGGGGGGGGGGGGGNNNGGGGGGAGGTATCGGATACGTTTATCAGCGATATGAAATCATGTGCGTTTTCGGCTAATTAGCAATTGGACAGGGGCTTTTAATACTTTTACTTTATGCTAACATTCTTCGCGCTATGTCTCAAGTTGAAGCAACTTTGCAGCTTATTTTTCAACTATTTATTAATAACACTTATATGATGAGCGAGCAAGGAAAAATCAACATTCAATAGTTTGTTATAGTGGCTATTGGATCAGCAAAGCGTGTTTTAGTGCTTTATTCATAGCAGAATTAGTTGGTCGTTGTCGTCTTTAACAAAGATTCCAAGCTCCGCAATAACCAGAAAACTAGTAGAGATTGCACGTTATAGGCAATAATTTATTGCTTAGGAAGACTTTTAATGCAAGCATTACAATGATTATAGAACTGTGGAAAATGTAGGCCTTCCGAGTCATTTATTTCAATTAACTTCCCATACTTCTTACTACTTAGAGAATACTGGTTAGCATCTGACTGAATTCACATAAACCTGTAACGTCTAGTCATTTAACGGTTATTAAATTGGTCATGATTTTGTGGTGGATTAATTTAACAACAACTGCATATACTTATTTTACGTCCGAAACAATTTGCTTCTAACGCAAGAGCAAGCCTAATCTTGAATGTCATGAGTTTTATTCGCCCTGGGTTTTTAAAATCTCTTCTGATATTAATGTTCTCATTTTTTAACTTTAGACAACCGCGAAGGACAAACGGATGTTATTCTATGCAATCCAGCTACTGGTGAACTTTCCATTCAATTAGATGTAAATGTACTACTTCCCGGTGGAGGTCTTCAGGAGGTATACAAGGTCACCGTTCAAATTCTTGACGTTGATGACAACCCTCCACGTTTCGACAATCGTGTCTGGAAACGTCACCTTAAAGAAGCACTCTATCGAAAGGGTAGAAAGATTGATTTACCAAAAGCAAGGGATGTTGATCTTCTGCCTGAACACAGAGCAATTCAGTACAGTCTGGAATCGAGCTCTCCAACTGTAATGGAGACATTTCATTTTGAGGTTTTAAATAGGTAAATAGAGCAAATAACGCGGATACTTTATTTAAAGTGCGTATACACTTTTTCCGCTATATGTAAGACGTTAGCATGAATCTTCGTTTGGATAAGCTCGCCCAATGCGGCATTTCAAAGAGTTTAAATTTAACCTTGAACATACTTTGATTAATGTAATTTGGGTGGTCCTCATTTTATTTAATTTGCAGTCGAATAAAACAATCATAAGCAAAATAGAAAGAAAGGCGTTTACAAAAGATTGTGATTGCAACCGAATATGATAAGTTAAGCTAAATACATAATTGGGTCAGGCATTGTTAAGTATATATTTCATCATTTATTGTTTTAGTGAGACTCCAACTCTTATCTTGCTGAAGGACCTAGACGCAGAAACACAAGAATATTTCAATATGACACTCCTAGCCTTCAGTTCATCTAGAGGTGTCTCGGACCAGGTCGATTCTCGACTTCAAATTGAGATCTATGTTGTTGATATGAATGACAATGAACCGTATTTCGATCAACCATGCTATAACATTACAGTACCTGAGGATACGCTTCCAGGATTGGTGATTTTTCAAGTAATATTTTTGATACATATAATTTAAATCGGCCTTGGTCAAGAAAATCAGATTTCTTAAAATAAAGTAGTCTGTCTAGGTCAGTGATAGACGCCTAGACCATATTTGACGATGGGATCTCTGTCGTAATGTGAAGTTGAGCGTAAAGAATGTTTATTTGTATAAGCCCCAGAATTAAACGTCTGTCAAGTGACTGGTGGGTATTTGCAGTTCGATTCCCCCCTCCCACCCCACCCCACCCCACCCCACCCCATAGAGAAGTGTGCGCCTTTTCGCTATAAAAATAAACAATTTTAAGATTAGGCATTATTTCGACATTTCTTCCTTCATCTCTGTATGGAGGCACCTAATAGCCATTCGAAAGGAGATTATGACTTTTCAACTGCTACTGCATACTGAACAGTTAAGCCTTTTATTAAATAAAATAAGAAATTGAAAAACTGCTATTTAATATAATTGTACGTAAAGCATCCCTATAACAGATTTTGATTTTGTGAGTTGCCCTATCCTACTGTATTTTGATTGACATCGTCCCTAAGAGTAGCAAAAAGATGAATTGTTACATGTCGCTGCCCTTGCAAGCTTACTTAAAGACCGTTCTTCTTACTTCATTGACATAACAATCATTAAGAAGTCTTCCCTTAATGGATCCATTAAAGTGAGTTTCACTAATGCTATTTGAAGTCAGCGAACTATAGCTTAAGTCCCCAGGCTGCTGAAAAATAGCCTTTTCCGATTTTAGAAAGAGTAGTTGGATCGAATCCTGTTCTCTCTCCATTGTTAGTAATTAATGTCACTTCACTGAATGAGCCACCAAAAGATTGATTAACTGGATGCAAAATTTCAACTTTGATAATTTAGGATGATAGAAATGAACTGAATATATTCAGAAAAGTAGTTAAGCGAAAAGTTAAGAAATTGATCTTCCCAATTAAGTCATAAGAAACCTTGTTCCGTCTTTACCAGTAATAACCATAGCAACAAAAAGTTCAAATGTTAAAATTACATCAGAATCGTGTTTAGAATACTAGGACAAAACAGGGGTTGTAAATTTAGAAACATATGTTGATTCATTGTGGTTTATGTTCATATTTTTAAAAATAAGACAACAACTTGTTAATTATAGCCATTTTAAACAAGATCTTGGCCTTGGTAACGGGACAATTGTTTGCACATATGTACTATTTGAATACAAATGAGGTCATGTCAGGTCACAACACCAATGAGTAATAAGGTTGCTGTGTAAAAAATTACTAATGCATATTCACCATAGCAACCTAGTAATTAAATGCATAACACGATTCATGTAATACATTGTTTGATAGTGCACATTGGTATGGATTAGAACCGTGTAGACAAAGTTGTTAACAATAGATCGAAAATCATCTTACTTAAGGTCACGATTCATCACTGTGCCAACAAATAAAGTCCATTTTAAAACATGTATGTTTTTGCCATAGCAACTAAATTATAAAAGGCGTGTAACAATGTTCAATGATAGTACACAATATTGAGGCTTTAACCAAGGATAATGATTTTATTAACTTTATATTTAAAGATGGCTATCCTGACAAAGATACTTTTATAGCAAATAATGAGCATTACATGTAATTTGTTTACATTTCTCGTTAACATATTGGATCATAATGGGCCTAAGAATGGAGTTCTTTGTCTAAATAAAAAGGAATCTTCATGGAAGTTTAGTTAATGAAATCACTGTTTTGCTTCTCTAATGTTGCCACAGAGCATCAAGTTCCTCATTTCCTGATGCATGTTTTATTAGTAGCAATATATTAAAAAGTCAAGTGTCCACATCCCTTCCAATTTTAGCATCCCTATAGTCATTAACCTACTGTTCAACTGTTTTAATGATCACTGGCTTTAAAATACGAGAAAATGTAGTTGATATTGGTGCAATTGCGCAGTAATTATACTCTTCAGGGTTGTAGTGGTGGGCTAACCGAGTGAGCCTTAATTAATCCTCCAATCTCAATGTCAAAGCCTCAACTTGGAAAAGTTTACAAAATAGGCTAAACGGCCTCAAGCTGTTAAGGAAACAGACGTATGATATAGAATGCGGTTCAAGCATGTTTTCTGCCCAAGCTGAGTATCAAAATAGTTATTTTTTTCCAAATTCAACACCATTATTGGTTGTGAAATGTTCACTTGCTTAAGATATTCCTATCTTAAAATTTTACTGAGTCGTACTTCATTTTACGTCCATGAGACCTAAAATTTTCCCATTCTTAAAAATGCTTCAAAAGTAGTGGACTTATGGTGACTACCGTCTTATTGTATGGAATGTAACGTACTCGGCAGTCGCCGTGGCAACGAAATACAGTAAATGTGTTTTGTAATGTCTAGCACATCTCATTGTGAACTACTTATTGGGGGGCAGCTTATGAATTGTTCCTTGGGTCTTAGAAAATGCATTAGTATCATAACTAAATTGACGGTTTTAATTTAACATATGCGCTTTCTCGATTGATTCAGTCAGTCTTGCCAACAGGAAGGACGTGAACTCAACTACACGCTTAAGGAAAAACAAGCGTCTTCAATTTACTCTCAGTTTAAATCCACCTTCTTGACTCTTTAACTTCGGACTTGCGCTTATTTGTGTAAACGTCTTAAGGTGATCACATGAACCTATAAAGCGATTCGTGTGAAATGTGCCCCAGAAACAAGTTAAGGTGGTGACGATATTAACCTTTCAAATTGCAGGGAGTCATTTTAAGATATGAGTGTAAATAAGAGTACAACCTTCTGTGTTTAATCGTTTAATTTAACGAGTTTGCCTGCCAAGAAAATACAAGAATATTTCTCTTTTATGATATTATATTTCCCATTCTCCTAAGAAAAACTTCTTTTGATTGATTGTATACCATTTCGCCTAATTTCCAGACTTTCTCCATCTTCTCCACTTTTGAGGACTATTGGTATTTTTATACTGTTATTTTAACATATTTAAGTAACATCGGCCTCAGAACCTTAGCCTGATATTCAGGGGTTGTCAAATCAACCAAATGTTACAAGATGCTTATGATTATTAATTAATTATTAGAATGAATGAAGTAAGAGAGCACAGATATTAAAATTTTCGCTCAATGAGATAAGTATCGGGGTTTTCAGAAAATCCATGCAAGCCGGTTAAACGGAAAATTTAATTTCATAAAAATATTTTTCGGTACTAAGTATTCACCCATCCGAATAAACGTCAAAATGTACCTCTGCTTCTGGTTCTTTGATATGTTCCGATTACTAATTTGATTAATTATACTTTCTTTAGTCAATCCAGTTCGTCTTAGCTACAATGAAGACATGACCCCAACTTCTTACCTCTCAGAAGAATAAACTCTCTTAATGCCACGTTTTAAGTGATCCCCGCAACTATCTGTTTATTTACTTAGGCGTTCTAAGGTGACAGCATGAACTGGTTATTTCAAGCTTCATTAACACTCCCCTCAATCTCTATGCGACACATAGGCACATCATATTCTAAGGGATCAAAATTTCTTATTTTTATTGAAAATCGGGACTGTTGGATATGAAATAATGTAATCAAAATGAAGATGAGGTAAAAACTTTCAATGCAACAGTGGGGAGGAATGAAGCAGATAAGTAATTTTCGGTTCTTTTCCATGCCTTAATTCGATATGATCTCGGATTTTTGGTAAGTACCTAGGATAGATTCCGCCGTAGAATTGATCAAGTCTTAGAGATTGTTGTTGTTGATGTAACTGACTCTTTTGTTTGTAGTATTTCTTATACTCAACTCCGTTTCTACATACATCCATGGCAATGAAATGTCGCCTCTGATAGTACTGAGAAGTTTAAATTAACCCATTTAAAGTGCGGTTATGAAATCATTCAGGAATTTGTCGAATTATTCGTACTAAGAGATAACAAACTAGCTAACTTGTTTGAGATTTCAAACGTACTTAGCTAATTCTAATTCAGTTTACCTTAAGCGTCACATATTTTAAGTTGACTGACTGATCTTCTTATTCCTATCATGGCCAACTTAACTTAATTATGCCAAAGAAAATTAATTTCTGAATTAAACAATTATTTTGAAATATATAATACAGAAACAGACAATAAGTTATGTGCTTTTTTAATTAATCATCTCACAAATTTATTCACATTTATTGTGGAATTTGTAGGAGTACTTTGGAAATGAAATAGGTAACTGTAATTTATCAGTGAATTGGTTTTAAAATAGTGTCACAGGAAAAGTATTTTATAGCATAATTTTTTATGAAACTTAAATCAGATTAATTTAAGTTTTTTTGATAATTGCTTTGGTGACTGATCTTATTCATTTACCTTCATTCTCATTTAATGCAATTTAATCTTATATAATGAAAATTTTATTTTTATTTATTTATTTATATCAAATGGCAGGC